TAGTAAGGGCTCATTAAAAAGTAGCCACCACTTCAGTAACCTTCTTGGTCTGTTTATAACATATACATCCTAGCATACTGATACTATTATCTTCATTCACATTCCTTCACTAGGCACCTACTATGTTCTGGGTGCTGCAGATCCACAGTGTCCAGAAGAAGATTTAAATACAGAGATGAGGGGATCAGATAACTAAGCCTTCAGAAAAGAGGAACAATCAAGGGAAATTCCAAGGACATGTGAAGACCAGAAGAGATGGTGTTGGGAAGGCCAAGATTTGCATGTCAAAGAGGGGAGCTCTGGTTTCTGCAGTATGGAGTTCCCAGGTTGGCTTCAGAAGGGCAATGTCACTTTGTGGGCAGGTGGACAGAGAAGCCTGACCCCTAAGAAGAAACTGGAGACTCCATGGCGAATCAGCTCCTGCAGAGAACTCACAAGGTTGTGATGGGAAAGGGAGCCAAAAGGATCGAGAATGCGAGCAGAGGGACGGCTCTGATGGACGTGAACCCTTCATTGTGAACAGGGAAGTTGAACGTGGGGGTGGGTGGGTGCAGAGATGACAGGGCCTGTCCGCTGGACTTGATTGTCTCTGAGAAGTGTGAGGCAAGGTCATCTGCTTGAAGTGAAGGAGGAGTGGAAGGAGGAGAGGAAGGGTATGCGGAGTTTAGTGTGGAGAGTTGACTCTTAAAAAGAAACATGGGGCGGGCTGGGGTCGTGGCTCAGTGGTAGAGCACTTGCCTGGCATGTGTGAGGCACTGGGTTCGATTCTCAGCACTGTGTATAAATAAATAAAATAAAGGTCCATCAACAACTCAAAAAATACATATTAAAAAAATATGGGACAGGCTGGGGTTGTGGCTCAGTGGTAGAGCGCTTACTGGCACGTGTGAGGCACTGGGTTGAATCCTCAGCACCAAATACAAATAAAATGAATAAAATAAAGATCTGTCAATGTCTAAAAAATAATTTAAAATATATGAGAGGATTGCTGGGCAGGAGTGAAGCCTCACTTGAAATTTATGGACACCCACTTATGTGGCAGCAGTCACTTTTAATTTTATTGAAATGTTGAGATGTGCTGATTTAGGGGAAATCGGGGAATACCTGGGCTTTGCTAGGGTTGGGCAAGTTAGTTGAAAAGGGAGTGGGTAAAGAGTTTATGGCTATTTGCAAGGAAGTATAACGATCATTGAATACTTAGGGAGGACCCAATGAACCCAAAAGGGAAGGTTAAGTCTGGCAGGGTCACAGGTTAACAGGTCTTGAGCAGGCTGAAGAAACAGTCCTATGTTGATTCTTTAGCAAGGACATTAAGGTCAGATTTGAGGTCTTTGGGATTGTTTTCTGAGACAGTGTAATTATTGGTGAGGGTGAGCCCATGGGAGTGGGGACCCAGGAAGAGGGGAAGGAGACCCACTGGTAGGGAAGAAATCAGTAAGTGAGAAGTCAATAAGATTTCTGGTGAGGGGCTGGTGGTGGCTCAGTGGTGGAGCGCTTGCCTCACACGTGTGAGGCACTAGGTTCGATCCTCAGCACCACATAAAAATATTGTGTCCAAGTACAACTAAAAAAAATAAAATAAAAAAATATTTCTGATGAGTTCAGCTTATAGATGCTGAAGTCATCAAGCAAGGCAGAAGGGCCTTGAGTTTTAAGGGGGTTTGGGTTTTTTAAAGAGGGAGGAAATAGTATTCAAAATATTATCGCGCCCACACCTCCCCACATCCCCTTTTCAACGCAGCCATGTTCAATGCCACAGGTCCCCGTGCTCACTGCAATAGCTGGTGGGTCTCGGGGTAGATCTGACCTACAGGCAACCAATCTGTAGAAGGACCCATGACCTGTCACTGAGCTGTCAACATGATGAGCTATGCCAACCAGATTTGGTCTTGGGAACCTCAACCATGAAACACATGAAGTTGTCATTTAATAGAAGCCAATGCAGAGAACAAAGGAGGGACAAAGCCACCAGAATGGACCCCATGTAGAATAAGGGAACAGGACTACATGCAAGCTGAGGATGCTGGTTAGTAGAGGAAAGAGGAGCAGAGGCAACAAAAGAAGTAGAAATGGGGCCTCATGGGCAGAGGTGGTGTTGGGTGCTGAGCCCTCTCATAAGGTAAACCTAAACTTTCAAGTTTTTAAACAGGAAAGCAACATGATCAGACCTGGGTTTATGAGTGTGGATTCCACTCCCAGATTGTCTAGCACTGAACTCATTAGCTGTGTGATCCGGGACAAGTTATGTAATCTCTGTGCCTCATTTTCTTCATCTGTAGAATGGGAATAATAATGTAATGCCTCCTTAGGTCGTAAGGACTAAGTGAGAAACTACACACAACGAACTTTGAACCATAAGGCTTCCTTTTGATCCCGTTTTCTTCTTGTTTCTTAAATAATTGAGACTAATTTCAGAAAACTTTCCCTTGGGCCTACTTTTCCTTCTGGGAGGGGGTCCACCTTCTCTTGGTTCTCTCTACTCTGCCCCAGGGACAATTTTTTTTTTTTTGTCTATCTTTTGGTCTCTTCTGTCTACATTCTTTCCCTATGTGAATTCATCCAGCTATCTTGTGCTTTTAAATACCTTTAAATGTCATTTACTGGCTGGTTCTTTCCAGTTTAACCCTAGCTCTGACTGCTTCCTCAACTCCAGACTTCCATATCTGGTCACTTACTGGATATCTCCACTGAAGCCTCCAATAGTCATTTCCAAAATAACTTGCTCCAGGGCTGGGGTTGTGGCTCAATCATACAGCGCTTGCCTAGCATGTGTGAGGCACTGAGTTCGATTCTCAGCACACATACAAAATAAATAAAATAAAGGTCCATCAACAACTAAAAAATATTAAAAATAACTTGCTTGAGTTGAACTCATACTCCCTCTTCCCTGAAAAAACTTTGTTCCCTCTACAGTCTCCATTCAGTAAATGGCAAATCTTTCCAGGGTTGATTCAGCTTAAAAACTTAGCATCCTCCTGGACTTCTTCCTCCTTCTCACTTATCACCAATACATCAGCAACCATCTAGAATACTTTGGAGAGGGAGGCTTCTTGCCTCTTCCAATGCTACTCCCCTGGTCGAAGCCACCTTCATCTCTCTGCTGCATGACCTTGAGCAAACTCCTTTTCAGAGAGCCTGTTAGGAGGATTCAATGAATTGTTATTTGTAAAATGCTTCACAGTGTCTATTATATAGGTAGACATTTAAAATAAATGTCTACACTATAGAAATAGCTTGCTAAAGCCCCAGTCCCCCTACAGTCCATCCAGAACACCACAGCTGCACGATCCTTTTGGAGCCCAGGTCAGAGCTGGTCACTGCTCTGCACTTGAGCTCCTGCCACCCTCTGCTTACCAGACCAAGGCTGTCCTCTGGCCTCCTTACAGGGTATGTGTGCCTCTACTAGTCACATGGCCCTTCCTTTCAATGGGTTACTTCTCAGTCAGACCCTCCTTGGCCTCCCCACAAACAGCCACACTGTGCTAGCCTGCCTACCTGCTCTCTCACTGATTTTTCTCCACACCTCTAATCATCCTGGACATTATCCATTCTTGGTAACTGACTGTCCCCCAGTCAGCATTCAAACTCCATGCCAGGGGCTGGGGATATAGGTCAGTGGAAGAGCAAGCCCAGAATGCAGGAGGCTCTGAGTTGAATCCCAGTGGCAACCCCCCAATAAAAGCTCCACACCAGCGCAATCTGTTTTGTTCCCAACTGTATTACCTGGCACTACTTGATAAATACTGGTAGCAACTTACTAAGTGCCAGTCCCTTCTCTGAACTCTCTTTCTTTTAATATTTCCTTTTTAGTTGTATTTGGACACATACCTTTATTTTACTTATTTATATGTGGTGTTGTGGATCGAACCCAGGGCCTCGAATGGTGCATCACTGAGCCACAACCCCAGCCCCTTCTCTGAACCCTTATAAGCCCATCTATACCATTCTTTATATGTCGGTGGCTTCACACATTATGCAAGCTTTATGAACTCATTTATGCAGTTACTATCCCCTCAGAGGTGACCCATTTGATTCCAAAGAGGGCAAGAATGCCAGGGAGTGTTGGTATTATTAGCAGGATTTACTTTCCAGGTCTCCTGCATTCTAAACCAAGCTCAACAAATATTTGTTGAATGAAGAAAGGAAAAAGAAGGAAAAAAAAATTCTGAGCTACTGTGTGGAGGAAGGCAGTCCCATAGAGCTGAATCTCTGTAGCAAATGTAAAAGGATGCATATGACCTAGTATTTATTGAGCCCACATTTCTAATCTCTTCACCTGTGTCATCATAACTACCCTGTCGCAGGTGGACAGCAATCTATGTCTTATTCACCTCTATCATCTTTTAGTGCCTAAAACAAGGCCTGGTATATAACAGGTGTTCAATAAACGGTGCAGCCCAAAGCTCTTTGATTCTGGAGACCAGGTTCAGGTGCAGTGCTGGGCTCCAGGTCCCACGAGGCCCCACCGGTAGCAGGCGGCAGCGCTGGGATTCCATGTCAGATTCCACTCGCGGCGCTCCCTCTCGGAGTTGGGCTGGGCTGGGCTGGGCTGGGCTGGGTTGGTCCGCGGTCCTCACCAGTTCCGGGTCCACTGACGGCGTGAACGCGTGCATCGGGTGGGGCGCTGAGGGACAGTCCCCTCCCAGCCTAGTACCTTCCGCATCTTCGCCTGGGGGGTTCTTCGGGCGGGTGAAAGCGGTCCCTCTGCAGCCCCGAGCTATGCAGCCACTGACTAGGGGGCCGAGCATCGCAGCCGCAGGAGACCCCAAGTCCCCCACCCCCAGCCCGGCTCCTAGCCCGGCCCGCACGGCCCCGCCCCGCCCCGCCCGCAGGCCCCGCCCCCGCGCGCCCGGCCGGCGCTCCGCCCCCCGCGCCGCGCTCCATACTTGGCGATCGCCGCGGCCCCGCGCGCTCATTGGCCGGGAGCTGGCGGCGTCGGGGGCGGGCCCGGGCCCGGGCCGGGGCGGGGAAGGAAGGTGGCGGCGGCCCGGCGCGGGGGGAGGGGGGCGCTGACCCGGATGTTCACTCCTGGGCACCCGGGGAAGTGGAAGCGCCGGGCCCTGCTGCGGGGGGGAGAGCCACAGACGCCGGGACCGGGACCGCCGCCGCCGCCGCCACCATGGTAAAGGCTCCTCGGTCCCGCCCGCGAGCTCGCGTCCCCCTGCCCCGCCGAACCCCGGCTCCGGAGGGTGGGTTCCCGGGGTGGGGGAGGGGCGGGGTCCCGGGCCCTGGGTGCACACCTTCCCTCCGGCCCGGGAGGGGCTGCGGGCCGCCTGGGTGGCTGGTGACTTTGCCGCCCCCGCCCTAGGTTCCACCTGGAGTCCTACTCTCCCCCTGCAAGTCCAGGAGAGTCTCCCCCAGAGCCCAGGCTGGACCCTTCTTCCCCCATGGGCCAGGCCAGGGACCCCTCCAGTGACCCAGCCATGGTCTCCCTTATTCTTCCCTTGCCCGGGCTGGGCCCTCTACCCGGGCCCCTGCGGTCCACGCCAGTCCGTCGCTTCTCCCTGCCTTGGCCCAGACTAGGCCCCCTTCCCCTCACACTCCTTCCCTTCTCCGTGGCCTCAGTCCGTACCCGCGACAGCCCTTCCTTAAGTGACCTGAACCTAGATTTGTTTCTCCTCTCGCGCATAATTCTTCTTTTTCCTCCTTGGTCTTCAGTGTGGACCTCTCCTCCTCTGCTGTGGCCCCCTCTCGGGCCTCCCTGCCCACAGGACCCCCTCGATCAGGTTTCCCGGACTTCTCACCACTCTCAACGTAGCCTGCGTCAGCCCCCCTCTGTCCCCGGCCTTACCTTCCCACCAGGGACCTGCCCCCGACCCTTCATCTCCAGTGCCCCTTCTCAGCAACCTCTTGGAAGCTGGGGAGACGGGGGGTGAACACCCCGGTCAGGGTGGGGGTGCCATCCCTTTTGGGGCTCCAGGGTTACCTCTTCTGGTGAGCGAGCCAGGGAGGGAAGGATGGACGTCTGTGTGCCCGGAAGGCAGCGCCGGGCCGTTCCCGCGGCCGCCGATTCAGTGTGATGCTAGAGCGCGCCCCAGCCCAAGTGGGAGCAGAAGGGTTGAGGGTTGGGGAGCCCACCGGATTGGGATGAACGCACAATCCCCCTTGTGAGGCCGCAGCCCTGGGGGAGCCACCGGGCTCAGAGCTCAACATATGGCCTGGACACAATGCACCCTAGCAGGCGCAGCCTTCCTTTCCCCCTAAACTGTCAGCTTGTAAGGGTTGGAACTGCTGATTATGGAGGTGCTTCGGATCAGGTGAGCAAAACTTGAAGCAGAGATCTAGCTTCACTCGTGGTGTTTGTTTTGGTAATGAAGGCAGGCGTTGTGGGCTCTAGGCAGCAGGCTTCACATAGGCCCCCACAGGTAGGCCTGCCACTTAACCAACTGTGGAACCATCTGTAGGGGAGACCCAGGTTGGAGGGTCAGAGGGCTTCTGCCTCATGTGGTCAAGGAAGCTTTGAAGAAGGAACTGTCAGAGCTAAGGCCATCCACCTCCTGCATCAGGGTCCTGTGCTGGTGCCTCCTGTCCAGTGCAGGCAGTTATTTGCATGTGAACTTTGGGCCCCAAATGGTTTTGAGGATCTCAGTTCCTTGTTTAATCAAAGGATGTTGCTGTAGAACTAGGGTGACTAATTCAGACCAGCTTAGTTTTTTCTTGATGCTTTCCTGTATATTGATTAAGAACAGAGGCGTTGTCATTTTTAATACTATTGCTACAGGCTGAAACCTGGCCTATGGGGGGGTGGGCCTGGCTCCCAGCTTGACCAAGAAGGATTTGTCCGGGATAGTTTTGGGTGAGGACTTTAACTGAAGTTTTCTAAATGTGCTCTCAGGGCAAATCAAGGGAGGATGGGTGGAGTGGCCAGATGGGGTGCTCAGGGCGGTAGATCAGATAGGGAGGGGCAGTTCTCTGAGTGTGATGGAAAGTGCCAGTAATGACCCAGGAGGAGCATATGACAAAGAGTCCTGGCCTTGGCTCTCGTCTGATAATCTGAAAAGACTGGAAGGGGTGGAGGAGAGGGCCTACCTTGTGCCACACACTGCGTCACCTGAGTGAGCTTATTTAATCCAGATTTGGGTATATGCTGTCCCCATTTTACAGGTGAAGAAGCTGAGGCTCAGGAGGAGGAGTCACATTCAGGGCATTGCTATGTCAGTGGAATAACATCTGGCCAGTTCTAAGCTGTGTTTTTTCCCATTGTACCAAGCTGCTTATATGTCCAAAGATATAACGAAATTGTTTAGAAACATAATAATGGGATGCTCAAATGTGGCAGGGGAGGAGCAGCATTTATGGTCTTTGGATTATGTGCTAGATTCTTTACATAGAAAGTCTTATTTAATAGAGAAGTCATGTGGTCATGCAGGCAATTTAGTGTGGGCCAAAACCTGAGCTCCTTGGGGGCCAGGATTTTTGTCTTGTGTTTTCCATGGCTGTATCCCTCCCTGCGGGCCAGAACAGCATCTGGCAGTGAGAGAAATGGTTTGGAAAGCCGGGTGCATTGGCCTGTGTCTGTAATCCCAGCTAATCCCTGCTACTTGGGAGGCTGAGGCAGGAGGATCACTAGTTCAAGGCCAACCTGGGCAGCATAACAAAATGCAAAGCCCCATCTCAAAAGAAAAGAAATGACTTGGAATATGTCTGTGTTCATGTTTGTGAACTTAAGTCACTTGGATTTCATATTCATGTCTTTCAATAACTTGTTCTTGGTGTCCTGTAGGCTCACAAATAGTTTCTGACTGCTTATTTTTAAATTTATTCCCTATTTATATAAGCTGATAAATCAGTATAGATAGTTGGGACAGGATGGAAGTGGTAGTGTGGGTCTGCATCAGAGGCAAATGAATTAGACCAACATGGTCCTGGCTGCCCCCTCTTCACTGGTGGGGATTGAATCAAGGGGTCACTTGCATGTTAGGCAACAGCTCTGCTGCTGAGCTACATTCCTAGTCCTTAATTTTTTTTTTCCTTCATTTTGAGATGGCTGGTTAAGTTGTTCAGGCTGGCCTTGAACTTGCTGCAATCCTTCTTCCTCAGCCTCCCGAGTAGCTGGGATTATAGGCAAGAGACACCAAGGCCCAGCTTTTCAGTAGTCTTGATGTTAGAAAAAAACAGATCTCAGTTTTCCATTGAGGAAAATATGGGTTTGAGAATCTAAAATGCATTTGATTTGGGGGTGAATTCAATGATTTTTGTTGGCATCAGTTTCACCTTCCTTGTTAAGAATGTATAAGCAAATGAAATTTATTTTCATTACCTTAATAGGTAATAATCTTACCACTGTCCCTAAGTGCTTTTCAGTTTCAAAGCACTTTTCCTAACACAACTGTAGCTTCTAATTTAGGGATTATTCTGAGAGCTATAATTCTGTACTTGATGGTAGGGCTGGAGGGGGCCACTCCGGAATTGTCATGCCAACCCAGAGGTGGTTTTGCCTAACAGGACCTGATAGGAGAAACCCCTCATATTAGTACCAGGTAGAACAATAGAGTTGATACTTGTCTTGGTGGTCTTCTGGTGTGGATAAGATACATAGTTGTATTTAGACAGTCCTGTTAAAGCTGGCCACTTTTTGGTGAAATGCTTCTGAAAGTAGCCAAGGATCAATAATTTGAGAATAAGAAGATGATAAGCCATGCTTTTGAAGCAGGTCTCCTTATTTATAGAGAAGTCCTATATTTTTACATTCTGTTTGGGGGGGGGGGGCAGATAACTGATGGCACAGGGATATGGTAGCAGGGCAGGTACCTGACCATCCTGAATCCTGCTTGTCAGGCTGGGAGATTTTACTGTTGGCAGATACAGAGGTGCGGTGGTGTGGCGGGGCCTGAAGTATGTAATGTGTGAGGTGGCTACTCTGTGCTGCTTATGTGCTAGCGATGAGCAGGATAGACAAGGCTATGCACCCTCACAGCTTCCACATTGGGGGGTTGATCACTGTCACTCTTACGTAAAGTTTAAGGAGGAAAAGCCCTGTTTAGTGTAACTGCAAGCACATGAGCATGAGCTATGACAGGAAACAAGATAAGGTTGGGGCTTGTGCCAGGCTCCAGTCCCAGGCATTTTGGGGTATGCCTGCTCTTGGGTCTCCCATTGCAGTGGAAGTGAATTGCAGATGCTTGCAATTGGTTCCTCTGCACATCTCACATACTCTCTCACCAGATGTGCAATCTCGTAGTGCTGCGGAAGTCCCGCCCTTCCAGCCTGGTCTCTGCCATTGACTGAGGATCTGCTGTGATCCTAAACTGTGATCCAGGTTATAACTCAGTCCCTGTTTAACTTAACAAGGAACCTGAAGCTCCAGGGGTTGGGTGACCAGTGTGAATGGCAGGCGTGGGATTCAGATCTGGGGCTACTTGATTACTGTGCAGGACTGTGAGAGGCAGGGCCCACAGTACAGGATCTTGTTCCATTCCCCTTGCTGCAGATCCGTCCAGTAAGGGTGGGGTGTGGAAACCTGAAGGATGGCACTGCAGGAGCACCTGTTGGAACCAGCTAAAGCAATGCCATTCCCAGACTTGGGCTTTTACAGGTTAATATTTCCATGTGAGGAGGTGGAGGCTTGGCTACTCTGCTGCTTATATACCATGGACTCAGCGATGAGCAAGACACAGAAGCTTCCATCGCTTGGGGTTGGTCATGTCACTGTGCTGGGTGCTTTGGCCCCCTGGATCATGTGCCAGCCATGAGCAGGATAGACAAGGCTATGCACCCTCACAGCTTCCACGAGCAGCCAGTGAGGAAGGCTCAGCCTTAGGTGGGAGGCAGCATAGTATAAGAAGTTATACTTGGAGTACCTCCTTATGAGGAGGATTAAATGAGATAGCATGTCAAGTGATTTGACTTTACCTAGTGCCCATAATTGTGTAGAGAGTAACTTATCATCATGGTGGCAGATAAGGTGCAAAGGAGTATGTGGTTAGTCCCCCTGTAGCTAATGGAGGAATTGGGTTTTTCAACTCTAGACCCTGGCCCCTTGCCTGCACTCCTTACTGCCAGCTGAAGGCTGCTTTGAAGTGTGCTCAACTTTGGGCTGGGCTGGGTTTTGAACAGAGATCTTCATTAATTGAGCTTAAGACTTTGCATCCACAAAAGATAGTATTCCTTGAGCCGAGTATG